AATGAATAAACCTCTATGGAGGACAACCTAGCAGTATCTATTAAAATTTAAAATGCATCTTCCAAGACTCAGCAATTCCCCTCTAGGCATGTATCCTGTAGATATTCTTGCCCGTTTGCAAATCAAAGAATGTACAAGGTTACTTGCTGTAGTAGTGAAAGGGGACAACAACTAAAGTCAACTTTTAAAATAATCATTTATTTTACAATGGAATACTACGTAGATATGGAAGAATCTCTAGTTCTGAAAATTCTTTTGCTACTTTTGGCAAATATATGTATAGAATATGTTCATCTTAAGTCCCTAGTGATGTCCAATTAAATGATCCCTTTAATCCTTTTAATGGGGCTTTTAATGGTAAAGAGAGTGGGATGGACAGGTAGAAAGAGTGAATAATCAAGTTTTATTTAAGGAATATTAATTTCCTTGCAAAGAACATAAAATTTCTACTAATTAAATAATACTCTAGTAAGAAGAAAGATGTATCTGTGCACACATAACCTTGTTAAGCAAAGTTTTAACAAGGATCTCCCTTTGTAGATCCAAATTCATGAATAGGTCTAAACTGGCAGTACCTATTGATTCAGGTGGATTTCCCATTTTACAAACAAGCCTCTTGTTTATGGGAAGAAGTTCAGGGTTTCAGAATACCATTAGTACATATTCCCTGAAACCTGATGGGGAAGAAACCCTACTGCCCATCAAGTGACATCCTCTTGCAGCTGCAGGACATCTTGCAAGGGCACTCTACTCCAGAGCAAATATACATAAAACAAGTTAAATACTTATAAAAACATAATGCATACAGGCTAATTCCCTGATAACCATATATGCTCTCCAATCTTGTCAAACTGTAATTTGCTTCCTGTTCTACAAATAAAACTCTCAATTTCCTGTCTCTTTACTACTGACCTCCTCTCTGTCTCCAGTTTCTTTCATCTGGAATCTTACGCAGGCTTCTACCTAATTACCATTTCAAGCATCAGGCAAAGTCCCATCTCTCCCACTAAAGGACAAAGTCTTCCCTGACTACTCAACAGTGATCTAAGTTCTGACCCTCTTTGGCATATAACTATCTTTATCAAGCACTGGACTCTAATCTTTTTGCTGCCTGATATTGTTAGTTTTTTTTTTACAAGTTTTTGACTTATCTTCCAATTTGATTAGAGGCTCATTAAAAACAAGTCCCAATATAGTTTTTCTCTTCTGCATGCACCTACATAGTAGATGCTCTCATTGTCCTGGTTTTGAAAAGTAACATGGTCAATCCAATTATGACCCAGAATGTGCATTCTTTACAGGTTTTGCTATAACCAATCTATATTCTTTATATAAACATGGGAGTTTCTGCCAATCCAATAAATTCCATGAGCATTTAGTATCAGAATTCATCAGCTGACTCTGTGTCCCAGCCACAGGATTGTAGTTGTTCATCCTGTGGGAACTCAACTTCAACGTCATAAACAAAATTTGGATCATCCTTCTTCTTCTGATTTTTCTCAAAAAGTTCATCCATGATGCTCTTCCTTTTAGCAAGTTCCCTGTCATCTAGTTTGTTCAGGTCTTCCTCAGGATCAATGGTTCTTTCCCGCTGAATTTGTTCCATTGTTTCTGCCAAACTCTGCCCCTGCAAGTTACCTCGTAAAAAACCAAATAACTTCTCTAGCTGCTTCAGAGATACTTGTTCCAGGTAACTCTTGTGTCGTGGATTATTCTTTAGTTGCTCAGCTGCTCTACTGCAGTCTAGGAGGGAACAAAAAACAACAGCTATATACTCCATACATCATAAACTGTTGATGCACCACAAACTACTGCAAAATAGAACAAACGCTCAGAACCCTGAAGGCGTTATCTGCCATTATAGCCAAGAACCTAACAGGCTTTATTGGAAATGAATTATACTGCAGAACTATTCCTTTATATTGAGCCTTGAATTGGGTAGGGGAAGAGAGGGAAGTGTGTTTGATTGTCTTAACTTAAAATAGCTTTGTGGAGATGGTAAACATTTTCAATTAGAGAAAATGTCTGAGAAGAAAAAGTTATGACAGCTTTTAGACAGTAGTACTGATACTAACAAAATATGAAGACTATAAATGAAAGGAAAGTAGTAGTATTAAATAATGCAATCTCATTTAACCCATACAACAATACTGAGAGGGTAGAATTATCAATCCCCTTTTACAGATTAGGAAATTGATGATCATTGAAAGTAAGCAATTAGCAAGGGTCATACATGTAGTCCCTGATAGAACAATAATGTGAATGAACCTAGGTCTGTCTAATTCTGAAGACATGCCGCTTCATTTCATGAGACTCCAATTTTTTATATATTAAGAGATGTAGAGAATATTTAAGATAGGAGGCAAGACAAAAAAACAAGATACCTGAAAACTTTGAAAAGTTTCGAACTGGCATGATACGCTGACGACTTTTCCCCTTGATTTCACCCTCATAGATTAGGATAATAGCTGGAGGCTGGAATCTAATTCCACATTTCTTGGCAGTATACATCATTCCTACATGTACGGAAATTAAGAGGAAATGTGATAAAAACATGTTAGTCTCATAATAACTTCCTGCTAAAGGGGAAAAAGGAGCTCTGGTAGCATAGTGGCTAAAGCACTTGACTGCTAACCAGAAGGCTGGCGGTTCAAACCCACCAGCCACTCCTTGGAAGGAAGGTTGGGCAATCCTACTTCCGTAGTGATACTGCCTCGGAAACCCAAGGAGGGGTCACTATGAGTTGGGGCCAACTCGATGGCACATAACAACAACAACAACAACAAAGGGGAAAAAAAAAATTCAATTATAGCTCAACTAGGTGTTGGATAAAACTTACACCCCAGCCCCTCCCCACTTTGTCCTCTGCAGTGACCAAGGAAGCTTCATACTTCTGGGGCTGCCCTGAAAGCTCTGTTTGGCCTGGGCTATCCTCAGTCTGTTGACTCTAAAAATCTCTGGCTCATTCAGGGTGTAGGTTTCACACATGAGCTGGGAATGCAATTCAGTTTGGGCCTCTTACTACACTTTTACCAATGATTGTCTCTGAACCCCTAAGTCAGCCCAAAAATTCACCTAAAGGGTCTTTTTAATTTACCAATTAGCAATTGTGTACTAGGCATCTTCTATATCAGGGTACTGTGAGTAGTCATCTTAAACATGTCCTTAGAGGTTCACCAGATCAGATCTGACTCCCTTATCTCTTCCCAGTCATTTCATTCAACAAGTTTTTAATAATTATTTTTTTAATTAGCTGTCTTCCCTTCTCATCTATAAGTTCCATGAGGGCAGGGCATTTATCTATTATTCACCACTATATCACAGCATAGTACCTGGAACATAATAGGCACTCCATACATACCTGTTTAATGCAATGTATTAATATAAGACCCAGCCTCTGTACATCCTCTAAGTGTTTATAGTCAGTAAGCCTGATGAAAAAGGCAGATCTGGTTTGGAACTGGCCTCTATGTATATGAGACAATAATGTTTATGCAGCTTTTACTTCAGCTTATTTGTCTCACTATATGCTACTTTCTCAGTTCCCAGAAAGCACAGTTATTGCAGGCTAATACTTGTAATTTCCTCTTTCCTTCTCTACCCTCAATACCAAAATACACTTCATTATTGGGACTACTTTAGCTGGGACTATGATATTATCAGGAAGATTTGCAAATGTCAAGAAACCTTGAAGTAAAGTGGCATATGATGTTGATACCTTCATAAATTCAGTTCTGTTAGAGAATCACTATTGAAACAGTTTTAAAAACTACTTCAATAACAATAATTCACCTATGTTCATTGTAGAAAACTGGGGTGAGAAACATATAAAACAATCACCTTTAACTCCTTCTAGTCTTTTTTCTAGGCATACAGTTTCATCTTTTAAAACTGTGGTATGTTTTTATATTATAAATACTATTTCCAGCCTCTTACATTTAATAATCTATGCGATTAGTTTCTTGTCATTAAACATTTTACTAAAATTCATTTTTTTATGTAACTGTGTAATGTTTCATCCAAGGAGTCTTGCTGGTGTGGTGGTCAACTGAAAGGGTAGCAGTTAGAACTCACCAGCAGCTCTGTGAGAGAAAAGACCTGGAGATCTGCTCCCATAAACATTATAAGCCTAGGACCCTATGGGGCAGTTCCACTCCACCATATAGGGTTGCTATCAGTAGGAAGCAACTCAATAATGCACAACAAAAACAACAACAGTGTTTTGTCTTATAGATATACCATAAATATAAAATAAAAACAAAAACAGTACCAGTTGTAATCAAGTCAAATCCAACTCACAGTGACCCAACGTATGTCAGAATAGAACTGCGTGCTCCATAGGATTTTCAATGGCTGATTTTTCAGAAGTAGATCACTTCCTGGTAGGCTCAAGCCTCCAACCTTTTGGTTAGCAGCAGAGTGTGTTAGCCATTTGCACATGCCTTAGATATACATGTTGTTGTCAGCTGTCATCAAGCTGAGTCTGACCACAGCGACCCCAAGTGTGCCAAGCAGAAGTGTGTTCCAATGAGTTTTCAAGGCTGTGACCTTTCAGAAGTAGATCATCAAGTCTGTCTTATGAGAAGCCTCTGGGTGGACCAGAAACTCAGACCTTTCAGTTTGCAGTAGAGTACATTAACTATTTGTGTCACTCAGGCACTCCACGAGTGTATCATAAACTTGACCTGTTGCTGTTGACTTGATTCCAACTCATAGTGACCTTACAGAACAGAGTAGAACTGCCCCATAGGGTTTCCAAGGCTGTAAACTTGACAGAAACTGACTGCCACATCTTTTTCTTGCAAAGCAACTGGGGGTTTGAACCACCAATTTCTTGGTTAGCAGCTGAGTGCTTAATCACTGCGCCACCATACCCCCTCAAATGTATCATAAAACCAAAACCAAACTCATTGTCATCAAGTCAATTTTGACTCATAGTGACCTGGGAATTTTCACAGTTAGTAAATTTGCTTTTTCAAAATATTGGGCTCTGTTTCTGATCTGATGCAATGATCATACGTACCTAGCAAGGCCATTTCCCTTTCTTCTTTTTTTTTTTGTCCTACAAATACTAATTGTCACTAAGATTTGGTTTGTTAATAAGCTTTCCTAGGAGAAACAACATAAACTCCAAACACTTAAAATGACTAAGCTCATGAATGGCGACATACAATTGATACTCAATAATACAGGGCTTCATTTGACTGCTAACCAGAAGTCTGGTGGTTCAAACCCACCAGCCACTCCTCAAAAGGAAGGCTAGGCAATCTACTTCTGTAGTGATACCACCTGGGAAATCCAAGGAGGGATCACTGTGAGTTGGATCCAACTCGACAGCCGTGGGTTTGGTTTTTGGTTTAATGCAGGGCTTTTTGTTCTTTTGACTACAGATTTATCTTTTTTAAATTTAATCTTTATGGAGTAATGCTTTGGGGACCTCCATTTGCTGATGTGGCATGACTCAAAATGGGAAGAAACAGCTGCAAACATACATTAATAATCACAACATGAAAGGTATAAAGTATGAACCTAAGAAAATTGGAAGTTATCAAAAATGAAATGGAACACATAAAGATCAGTATCGTAGGCATTAGTGAGTTAAAATGGACTGGTTTTGGTCATTCTGAATCAGACAATGCCAGGAATGACAAACTGAAGAGAAACAGCATGCCATTCTTTGTCACAAAGAATGTTTCAAAATCTATCCTGACAGTGCTGTCAGTGATAGGATAGTGTACATAAGCCTACAAGGAAGACCAGTTAATACTACTATTATTCAAATTTACACACCAACTACCAAAGCCAAAGCCAAGGAAATTGAAGATTTCTACCAACTTCTGCAGTCTGAAATTGACCAAACATTTAATCATGATGTATTGATTATTACTGGTGATTGGAATGCAAAAGCTGGAAACAAGAATCACCAGTAGTTGGAAAATATGGTCTTGGCGATAGAAATGATGCCAGAGATTGTATGATAGAATTTTACAAGACCAACAACTTATTCATTGTAAATACCTTTTTCAACAACATAAACAGTGACTATACATGTGGACTTCACCAGATGGAATACACAGGAATCAGACAGACTACCTCTGTGGCAAGAGGCGATGGAGAAGCTCAATATCTTCAGCCAAAACAAAACCAGGAGCTGACTGTGGAACAGACCATCAATTGTTCATATGTAAGTTCAAGCTGAAGCTGAAGACTATTAAAAGAAGTCCATGAGAGCCAAAATATAACCTTGATTATATCCCACCTGAATTTAGAGACCATCTAAAGAACAGATTTGATGCACTGAACACAAATGACCAAAAACTAGACAAATTGTGGGATGACATCAAGAGCATCATCCATGAAGAAAGCAAAAGGTCACTGAAAAGGCAGGAAAGGAAGAAAAGACCAAAATCGATGTCAGAAGAGACTCAAACTTGCTCTTGAACAGAGAGTAGCTAAAGCAAATGGAAGAAATGACAAGATAAAAGAGCTGAACAGAAGATTTCAAAGAGCAGCTCGAGAAGACAAAGTCAATTATTAAAATGAAATGTGCAAAGACCTGGAGTTAGAAAAAAAAAAACACAGTTGGCATTTCTCAAGCTGAAAAAACTGAAAAAAAATTCAAGCCTCGAGTTGCAATATTGAAAGATTCTATGGGTAAAATATTGAATGATGCAGGAAACATCAAAAGATGGAAGGAATACACAGAGTAAATATACCAAAGAGAAATGGTCAATGTTCATCCATTTCAGCAGGTGACATATGATCAAGAACCAATAGTATCGAAGGAAAAAGTCAAAGCTGTACTGAAGGGCAAAAAACAATGTTCCAGGAATTGACGGAACACACACTGAGATGTTTCAACAAAGAGATGCCACACTGGAGGCTCTTAAATGTCCATGACAAGAAATCTGGAAGACAGCTACCTGTCCAACTGACTGGAAGAGATCCATATTTGTACCCATTCCAAAGAAAGGGGATCCCACAGGATGTGGAAATTATCAAACAATATAATTAATAGCACATACAAGTAAAATCTTGCTGAAGATAATTAAAAAATGATTGCATTGAGAGAGAACTTCCAGAAATGCAAGCTGGATTCAGAAGATGATGTGGAACGAGGGATATCATTGCTGATGGCATATGGTTCTTGGCTAAGAGCAAGGAATACCAGAAAGATTACCTGTGTTTTATTGACTATGCAAAAGCATTAGACTATGTAGATCATGACAAATTATGGATAGCATTGAGAAAAATGGGAATTCTGAAGCACTTAATTGTACTCATGAGGAATCTGTCCATTGTCCAGGAGGTTATCGTTTGAACAGAGCAAGGGGATACTGCATGGTTTAAAATCAGGAAGAGAGTGTGTCAGGGTTGTATCCTTTCACCATGCTTATTCAATCTGTATGCGGAGCAAGTAACATGAGAAGCTGGACTAGATGAAGAAGGCAGCATCAGGATTGGAGGAAGACTTGTTAACAACCCAAGATATATAGATGACACAACCTTGCTTGTTGAAAGTGAAGATGACTTGAAGCACTTACTGATGAAGATGAAAGACTACAGTCTCCAGTATGGATTACACC